ACATATAGTTCCAAGTTTAGAGTGAAGAGTGAATTTAAGAAATCAAGTTTTGTGATCCCAGAAAAGAGTGTGTTCGCTTAGGACCAATATTACACTTAACATTGTAGCAGTATATAAGAAGACATGTGTTCAGAAGATTCTTCAAATATGCACCAGGATACTTAGTGAATCTCTTATACCGTCGTCTATATTACCTAAAATTTTTGAGAAAATAGGAAAATAGAGAAAGAGAAAGTCAGAGAAAGACCTGAGTAGCAATGTGATAGCTGAGATGATGGTTTATGCGTTTTATCCTTATTTTCAGGTTTTGGAACCGAAAACTAAGCTTGATACATTTATCTTTGCATTATCTTAATATGCACATAAACTATATAAGGAAAACGAAGTAATATACAATTAGAGACGTTAGTTGCGGATTTAGATCATAGTCACCTTCGATTGTGTGACTTCCACCAGCCGGTTATATGTGTCTTACTAGGGTCGGCCCGCCCATAGGGCGGGATGATAATTTAAAAATAATTTAAATACTTAAAACAAATATTTAATATAATTTTTATAATTTATAAAACATTATAAGATGGATTATGCAGTTTTCTTATATTAGTTATTTTTAGTTATTGTAATAACAAATTTTTAATGTGACTATGTAATATATATTCTAATAAAATTATAAAATTTTAAGATATATTTTCATAGCATTTTTGAAAATAAAATGCCTAGCAAAGATATGTAATATATTATTTTTTTCAATTTGTGAGTCTTTTTTTTTTGAAAAATAAAATTAAATGTGTATGTGTAAATATAGTAGCATTTTTTAACAGTCTTAGCATTTTCGAAAATAAAATGTTTATTAAAGATATGTAAATATATTAATTCTATCCAACTTGTGGATCTTTGTTTTAAAAATGAAATGAAATATATCTATGTAAATATTTTTGAAAAAAAAAAATATGCATTTATCTGACATAGAGAATAATTATGATCTAATTGTTTTTATCATCCTTATTAAATTTTGATCAAAATAATTGTTAAATATACAACTGATTTAAATTTTATTAGGTATTCTACCTTTTTTGCTAGTTTTTGCATAAGAAAAATGGTGGATGAATAACTTAATTAAAGATACATCGATAGACTATCTCTACAACTTTGTGCTCTTGATTCATCCAGTGAGTGATTGTTAGAAATAGTAAAATAGGCACGGTTTGAGAAATCGTCTCACTTCTCTACTCAAGCCATCTATTTCAAGATCCGCTTAAGACTTGATGGTCACCTTGTAGTTTCATCACAGATGTCATGGGAAGGATTATCATGCTGCTGATGAGCTTCTAAACTAAATCAGGACTCGAGTGTTGCACTGAAACCTCCGATCGAGCTTTGCAGCCTGTAGAGCCTCGAAGATTGTGATGTGGCCGTAATGAGAGGATGAGCTTTTGTTCCTGCGGCCAAAGTCCTCGTAGAGTCGCGTAGTTCCTCAGACAATCTAGTATCTCTGATAGGCTTTGCAAAACTGGCAAGGCTGGTTTATGTTGTAGTTGTAATATCGGAACTTCAAGTCCATGCTATGGCATTTTGGACATATCAGAGTATTTCTTCAGATTGCATATATGTCCTCTACTGATTGTTTTTGTCTTCTCTCTCACTGATACGTTGATGTTGCTTCCTCTTTTTTTTTCCTTGTTTCTGGTTTTGAATCATGTGAAGCGTGTGGTCTCTTGTTACAGTTATTCATCTTATTCTGTAATATCTATGTAACCACTTGCGCTTCTTCTTATTCTATGATAAGAATTGAACAACTTGCTCACTGGTTTACCTGAGAGAGGGTAATACCAAACATTTTAATTCAAGAACATTTGAAATGAGTTTATAACGATTTTTACAACTAATAAGAAAATGGTTGCTTAACTTTTTTTTGATCAACTATGGTTGGTTCACTATACTCAACATGAAGCACAAAGAGAAACAAAGGTTTTGTAGAGGACAATCTAAGATAGCAGAATTAAGAAGACCCAATACACCAAAACACACATAGAACAAAAAAAAAAAAAGGATCAGACTTTCAAATCAAACACTGACCACTCAAAGTCGCATCGACACCATAATAATAAAATTTGAAGAATACCTTTTACGTTTGTTCTCGAAGACAGTGGAAGAAGATGGATTGCTGTGCCAGTTCCTCTTCTTCTAATAGATGTACCAATTGGTTTCATCTCTCCTTATTGGTTACTGAAAGTGGAATGAAGAATTAGAGATAACACTAAATAGCATGTATCAGCCACACGGCTCCTGCAAAATTTGACGAAATCATTATCAAATATATATTTTTTAGAAAATTCAGACCTTTCAAATCCAACATGGTTTAGTTAGAACATAATCAAAGGGTTAAAGAAACTCTTACAACAACCTCATTGTTTCTATTTTTCAGCTCATGTTTCTTTTCTCAGATGCGTCTGCAATTATTCCAAAACGATGCTATTAGCGAGAATCTATTGAGTAACTCAAATAAATATAATTTTCAAGCGAAACAACTAATTGGCCAGACAACTAAACCGGATCATGTGCGATTAATAAAATGTTTTTTTTTGTTTTTAAATATATGGATTATAATGAAGATCTTACGCAAGAGAGAGGTTGCGACGGGATTCAGTGATCATCCCAAGAGGGAGGCAGCCTTGACGGAGGAGGATAGTGGAGAGACATTTTGTCTGGATTTTTTTTTGAGAAGTTTATGATTGAGAGGATTGAATAGATGATTTTGAGATGGAATTAATTAGAACAAAGATGAAGTTTAGGGAAAGGAAGCTCAGGCCTCATGCGTCGCCGCGCAGGAAAGGAGAGACGATACGCAGTTCTTGATCGAGCAATTAGGGCTACAAGTTACAACGTGAAATACTTCTCTCTTGGGCCGAACGCAACATCTTTACTCAGAACCCAACACACTTAGGAGGAAGAAAGCCCATTCACGGTCACGTTAATAAAATGCAGCGCTTCGGACACATGTCATGCTCTGAGAGAGGGATTTAATGACGTGGCTCTCCCAAGAGGGAGAAAAGTATTTTTTATATATATAGATATATATAGATTAGAACCATGTTAAAGAATAACATTGTCCTTGAGAATACTCTTTTGTGCCAAACCCATGAATCTGTTCATATATATACATTATGGTGTACCTGGTGGTTGAATACAAAACAAAACATCAACACATCCAAAAAAAAAGAAGAAAGAAAACAAATCTTCAAGATAGATCATTTCATTTTAAAGCTACTGACTAATCACATTCCCAAATACGATCCCTATGGTGCACACCAGTTTAAACGATGAACTCAATTTCAAACAGCAGATCACATAATATCTCGGTATATTCTTGCATAACCTGAGATCAAAAGTGAAAATGGCAAATCACTACGTGAAAGGCAGTACGTTCCTAACCTCACACCAATCAAGACCCCAAAAAATGCAACTAATCGGAGATTTCTTACTGTAGATGCGGGAACCACCGGAAACAACGTGACACATAAAATAGCTTTACTGTATCTTGATGCTCGCTGCAAGAAGGCACCACGATGGCTACAAAAAGTTTGAAATCTGCAATGGATTCTCTGATTTGAGTTGTAACGATCTCTTTGGAGAAATCTCAAAGAACATAAATCTCCTATCTCTGCAAAAGTCTTGATCTTTCCTTCAATCGACTTAGCTTCTGTATATGCAGACAAAATACTTAGCTTCTGTATAACAATAAAATACTCTAGGTCACAGATTTTACAGATACATTAATATAAAAGTTATATTGAATATTTGCACAAGATGGCCTATTAGCTCAGTTGGTTAGAGCGTCGTGCTAATAACGCGAAGGTCACAACCTGTATAGGCCAATGTTTCGTTTTATTTCGGTTTTGTTGTATTTTTCTTTTGTCTTACGAGTGAACATGTTGCCTTTCTCGCCCCTTAAAACAGCATGCAGTCTCTGAACTTTTCTTGAAAACGGCAGATCCGTAAACATCCGCAAAGGAAGCTTGTTTTGCTTCAAGACCGGGCCTAATTGAGACCGAAAAGCAGTGAAACTTTGTCGTGTTAACGTCACTGTCACATCCTCAAAAAATGTATAAGTATCTCGCTTAAATACAAAAATTCTTGGTATCTAAGTATACAAAGCATGACACATACAAGAACTTTGGTCGTATACATACAAAGATCTATCTTCAGATATACATCTCTACAAAAGAACATCAAAACAGCAGATCTGTTGAGTATTTAGATCCAGTTATATAGGGATATATAGTTATACCTCTACATGATCAGAACAAAGGAATATGGTATTATCACAACGTGATGATCGGTTTGGTTACAGAGAGGATGAAACATGTTTGAAGATATTTGTTGTTTTCTTGAGAGTATAGAACCAGTAAGGAACACTGCAGATTTGTCAGACTCAACATGGCCTTTCTCAAATTATTCAACCATACTCAAATATGACCAAATCATAAACGGACTATGATCAACTAAACTGTCTTAGAAATCCAAGTAATATATTAGAGGTGTTTGTTCATGTCTAAATGATTATGTCCAATGGACATTTTGTTGTTGACATTGATACTTTTCTTTAAATCGAATTTGACCTAGAATTTTAAATTGCTAGACCACTCACCAACCACCTGGTCGTTGACTTATTCCGAAAATTAGAGTTATCACATTTAAACCAATTTTGCATATAGATATTGTATTTTACTCCAATGGGGTTCGATCGTTTGTGATCATATTGATTAGCTACTTTAAAACTTTGTACTAGTCATTGCCCATGCATGTAAAACTTGTGTTGTTGATACCCCAAGACGGTTTCACTGAATTGTAAATTCTATTTAATTATAAAAGAAGAAATAAGTATCTTTCATGTTTCTTCTTCTTCTAAATCTATGGAATCGCAACAAACGCATTCACATAAAAATTAAATTAATAACTAGGAAAAGTCGGTGCCGCGTTGATAGCACCAAAGTTCACTCCTAAACCCAAGAAACCGCAACAGCTAAAACGCTTAATGAGAACGCAACTGACAATGTAGGTGATGCGGCCAGAGAAGCTGCGGCCGAAGCGTTAACCGCCTCCGGATGGGGAGGCCTAGATACACTCCTTGTACTGAAACAAATAATATTAAAAATAAACATTTTACCAATAAAAAAAGAAAAAAAGAATAGAATTCAAAATTTTAAAATATATATAATTTTAATTCAAAGTTAACCAAAACATCTCTTTCCTTTTATTTTTACGAATAAACTAATTTTTTTTTTTTTTTAAACAGCAACTTTCTAAATACTAACATCTCCAAAATATTTATTTTCCTTAATTTCATAAAAACAATAAAACAATATTACCTTGGAGAAGGAGTGGGACAGAAAGTGATGACGTAATCGGCGCCGGAGCAAGTGAAGGTGCTTGTGCCGTCGTCATAAGCGTAACTATAAGCCGTGGGACAAGCTTTTTTGAAGAAACCAGAGTACTCACTCGGCTTACACTTATCCGGTGTTCCAAACGCGCCGCTACAGCAATACTCCGGCGTTCCAAACGCTTCACATGCACTCATGCACGCCACAGCCACTCCATCCGCGGCGTCGACCGTTACTTTCAACTGAGCAGGACACACGGCGTTGAGATCAGCCCCGCAGCCCGTGACGTTGCAGTTACCCACTCCATTAGCTCCGCCGTGGGGAACGATCGTCATGGGAACGTTGTAACCGTCCACGAGGCTGACGTCGTAGAAATCCAGATTTCCGGCGCCGTTGAGTGTGAACTCGGCTAATGTAGCCGGAGGTTTGGCTCCGGTGCCGGAGCATTGTATTTGGGACGAGCCGCAGTCGCCGGTGACGCAAGTGAATTTACCGGTGGTGGCGTTTTGATTGCAGAGCGTGCGAGCCCATATGCGGCCGGACCAGGAGGCGGGTATGGAGATGGCTCGTGACTCGGAGGAATTTAGGGAGAAGCCGGTGGTGGGTAAAGGAGAGGTTCCGGCTCCGGAGAGAAGACCCGGCCAGACGGTGTAGCTGCATTGGTTAACGATGGTGAAAGTTGTGGAGGAAGCACCATTGATGAGACATAGAATCACAATGAGAAGAAAGAAAGAGACTTTAACAGAACCCATCTTTGTTTGAGAAAAGGTTGTTTGATTGTTCCGGTGAAAGTTGTGTGATTTATGAAAAGTTAAGAGTGTATTTATATGATAAGCGGGGATTAATTAGTTGGATTAGTGTTATGGAAAGTTTCATAAAATCCAAATCAATGATCTGATCTTCTCTATGTCTAAAAGTCGGAACACCAAATGTTAATTTATCTTTTCCTTCTAGTTCAACTTTTACATTGATATAGTTTGTAAAATAAAATTTAGTAATTTAAGTATTTTTGTCAAGAACCAAGTTTTTATTTTAGTTTTTTTCCTTTGATTTGTTTTACATTTTAGTTGGTTTGGTACTTGTGAATAATCAAAATTGGATAAGAGTGTTGATAATTAGAAAGCTCACTTTTCTGTGAAGGAAACATACATAAAGAAAAGTTAAACGTTGGATAGGAATTTGTAGGAACAGAAAGTAGTACGATATTGGGTTGGGTCAACAACATTGGAAGCTTGTCTTTGGTAATGTTAACCACGTGGTGGTAGCAGCCTAATGGAAATTATTTGGAGTTTGGTGTATATCCATGGGTTCGATTTCTTTTGGCAACTAAAAATTATCACTATTTGATTAGTCTGGGCTTGGGTTTTGGTCCAAGTTATGGGTCGTAACAGATGATTGGTCTACCCCTGACATTAGTCGAAAGATATTCCAAATTCAAGCCAGGGAGTGTGTTATGCTTCCGGGTTAGTCCATTCTGTAACACTAAGTACGTTCCGCTTAGGGCTGACCGAAGCTTGTCTTTGGTAATGTTAAAGAGAGATCAACTCGGTTGGTTCTCTCTTTGTTACAAATGATCTTAGAGCATCAACAACGCACGTCTTTTGTGCGTCTCTTCAGGGGAGGGGGCCTACAAATGATCAAAACTCACCTCTTATGTATACATAATAAGCGACGTGTGTTGTAGGTCTTTTACACTATTTTATGGGTCCCACGACACGTGGCGGTCCACAAGTATTTTTTTTTATTTTTTTTTATTTAAAAACAAGAAAAATAAAAAATAAAAAATAAGAGACGGAGTATCGTTTTTGCATTGATTATGCTCTTAGTTTGTAATTTGCAACTTGACTGTTTTGTATAATGTACGGAATTGCGTTGGTTTTACACAAATTGAGTCGCTGAGTTTAAAATAAACAAACAAAGGAGAAAGCAATGCAAAATTACCAAAAGATTTAAGCTCATATCTTATAAGTACCACAAAGTTCATTTCTCACATCACAAAAATTTACAAAATCAACAATAACAATAAGCAGAGCAGCCACCTAGAGCCAGATCTGATGTCTCTCACCAGGACTGCCCCTTAAGTAAAACCCATAAAACTCATGCTTTTAGCACCACAGATATTAAATATTTTAGGGACTCAATTAAAATGAACTGTAGCCTAGTTGTTGTAATTTTCTCTTGATGTCCTCTTTCTGAAGGTTGACTCCCCATATTTTTTTTTCTTTTTGGTAATAATTATAATTTTTTTCTTTTTCTGAGAATAACAGATTTATACATATATAAAGTAAGTTTTTCTCTCATATGAGAGTGACATGTCAATAATTCATCTATTCTTAACATGACATGTGTCATGTTCTTGGTTAATCTTTTGATTTTTCGTTTGTTTGTCGGTTCATCTTTAATTAAGAATTTTTATGGCATCATTCAATGAATCTCACTTTTCTACCTATTTACTGCACTTTTACTCTAATATGTATCCCTAAAAAATATTATATATAGCATTTTGGTTAATCAAAAGTATCTGAGAAATCTCTACATCTAGCATTTATTATTTTCACCAAGGTTTCTTAAAAAGATACCTCATATACTTTTGATTAACTAAAACGTCTTTGGCATCACCTAATGATCAGCAAAGTGAATCGTAACTAAAGATTAGATAAAAAAATCATATTGTGCCCTTGATCGCCGCCAACTCGACTGAACGCATGAAGAAACCGAAACAATTCCTAGGATTCCTGATAGGAGGAGAGCCACCACGAGTGGCCGACATAACCCATCGATCGAATATAAAAAAATGTATAAAGAGCTTTACAATGGTCTGATCAGAAATTTTGTTAACATTATTGAAAAGAGTTATTTAATATTAACATTTAAATTAAAACTCAATTCAAATAAATACTAAAAATTAACAAATACTGGTTCTGGATTACTTAGAGTAATAAATCTTATAGTTCTTTTACTGAAAAATAATAATTCTTAAAGTTACAAATACAAAGTAACAAATGCGGGTTTTATAGCTCGGTCGCTTTCATTAATAATCATTAATTTCTTTTGCAAACTATATTTTTTTCTTAAGTTTTGTATTTATTAACAAAAACAAATTAAATAATGTATTTTCATTAAAACTATATACTACTTCCTCCGTTTCTTATTGTAAATAGCATTAAGAAAGTTTTTTGTTTCAAAATATAGGTAGTTTTCTCACATGTAGGTAACTTTTACATGTACTATATATAATGTGACCAAACAAATTTATAATTAGTAAAATTTATTAATTAAACACTATGTTCTACAAAATAACAACTTTCTTAATATTAATGCTTTTATTTTGAACTATTGTGAAATGGAAGAAGTAATACTGTAAATAAACGTTTAGAAAAATCTCAGTGACAAAAGCAAAACTTAGTTTATCATATTTTGTTAATTTTTAGTATAACTTTAAAAACCCTGAAAATAAGAAAAAAAATAACAAAACATGTTAGTTGGGTTTCAATTCAAATTATCACTCTTTTCTTGCCTCTTCCAATATGACATGAACACTATCATCATACGACTTTAAGTAAATAAGTATTTTTTTTATATATACTTTGATTAGCTAGAAACTTATGAATTTGTGTAGTACTAAACAGGTTGTTCTTTAAGAATAAATGATCTCCGGAAGAATTTATATATATTAAAATATTCATACAATATTCTTTAAATACATTATTTTTTTAGTAGTCTTACCTTCCATAATTTTGCTAAAGACTTAGCAAAATAGACACAAAAAATAATTGAAAATATCAAATGTTTATTAGAATTTAAATTTTTTTCAACTGCTTACTCGTCCGTATGGCGGGTTTTACCATATCCTATATATACAAATTAGCATTTTATCTCTTCCTAGCCTACCATGTCAAATAGGAAGAGTATAGTACGACACATGTTCTATTTATCCCGTGTGTTTTGTTTCTTTCGTGATATTAATAGGCTTGGTTATTTTTCTCTCTTCTTCTTTTTTCTGTTAGCGGCCTTAAACTTATGGGCATCATAAATCCACACGCAAAGGTGACGATATTTTCGCGATGAGCTTCTTTGATGATGTCGATTGTAAAAGACTTGTGGAGTTACATGTTCTAACAACCCAGTTCTTTTATTACATTATAGTATGTTATCTTCTTTACCTGTCTTTTTTATTTATTTATTTTGGTATTCCTAGAATAGCTATGTGAATAAGACATATTGTAACAATTAACTTAATTATCATCTAGTCATGTTCCAATGTTTCACACTGATTGACCTTTGCCAGAATAAGTCAGCTTTCATTAGTTTTATTTTTTTTCTAATTTGGTTAGAAACTTGGAGAAATTGTTTTTTTTTTATACCAATCCCATTAGGATATTGTCCCCTTAGGTTAATCTCATTCACTTATTGTCCCATTAGACTAAATATTTTGTATATGGCAATACTACCCTTAAATTTTCTTTATTAATTCGTAATTACCATTAAACCAATTGCCTAACCTAAACCTAATTCTCAAATCAAACATCTCTCTCTCCCCCGACGAGAAATCTCTCGGTGGTGACATCTCCCCCGGCGAGGTCTTTCTTCTTCGGCGTGATTGCTCCGGCTCATCATCTCGGTGTGTGCTCCGGCTTCATCTTCTACGGCTCAAATCCCCAAATCAATTCACGACATCCCTCTCTCTCCCTTGCGTTCTTGGTGGCGACATCTGC